GGGACAGGAGTCAAGAAAACCTAAAAATCAAGATAAGAGTGTGTGTGGCCTGAGCCCAGCACTAAGCTCAAGCTCTGGATGGGCTCAGCTGGGACCCCGAGCCTGGCTGCTGTGTCTTCCTGTCCCATCTTACATCGCGTATTGATCCCCAAGGCTTGAACACCCAGCTGAGTTAGTGTTCCTCACCTGAGACCACCCTATGCATACATCCTAATCATGGCACGGACCAGGGGTGACACATTAGCATGAACTCTTCCATTGTGGTCTCAGAGTCTGGAGAGGCAACCGTGCGCAACAGCATAATGTGCCAAAAAAACTTACAATGCACCAGCTGTGGTAACAGCTGCAGGTCTGCTCTTAGTCTGTCTAAACACAAGGAAAAATGAGTTTGCTTACTTTACTTTCCCCCAAGTGCCTATTGCTGTGTATTTGCAGTGGACTAGGCAGAGCTGGAGCTTGAGGTGCAGTGGGGCAGAGACGTCCATCCCTGTGGTTGTGAATCCTGCAGTGATTTGTAAGGAAATTTCACACCACCCCCCCCCCCCCCTGGTTTAAGGGCATCTCCAGGATACCAGCATCAAGAGGGTTAACAGAGCTTTTTCTTAGTATCAACCTTGTAGCTTTGGTGGTTGCTTCCTTTTAAAGCCAGACAATGTTCTTGTTGTGATCCTTATCTCTGGCTGTTTTGCATGCATTTGGTTTAACAAGGATCTTGTCTAGGGTTTCCTTACTCCTTGAAAGCTGAGCTGCTCTATCCCTTGTGAGGACTTGTTTTCTGCAGCTAATTAGCGAGCTCTGGATGAGCAGGCTAATGGCACGGCTCTCCCCTCTTTTCTAGTGGTCTGTAAGAAGAACTTGGACAGCACCACTGTTGCTGTGCATGGAGAGGAGATCTACTGCAAGTCCTGCTACGGCAAGAAGTACGGCCCCAAGGGCTATGGATACGGGCAGGGAGCAGGGACCCTGAGCACTGACAAGGGCGAGTCTCTGGGAATCAAATATGAAGAGTGAGTTTAAGTCTTGTTTTTGAAATTGAGGCTGTTGTGAGCACCTTCTCCCCCACATCTTTCCGCTTGTGATGCTCGGCTGTGTAGTCCATGCTGAACTTCTAGCAGTATCTAATCTGGAGGGTGCTGTGGGCTGCCCTGCCTTTCTGCTCCTCAGGGGAAACCAGCTGAACCCTATTTGCAGGGTGGGATGAGGCTTGACAGGACATGTCCCCATTGCCTGAGCATTCTGCCCATCCCCCCCTACCATGCAGCTGTGAGGCTGAAGTTGCCATGGGGCTCAACACATTGTGCCTAAAGCTTCAGGCCCTTCATGGGGTTGGGGTTTGTGATCCCATAGCTCTTCCCTCCTCCATCTTGCTTGTGCAGCCCTGATCATGAACTCCCTCCCATCCACAGGGGCCAGCCCCACCGACCCACCAACCCTAACGCATCCAGAATGGCCCAGAAAGTCGGAGGTGCTGATGGGTGCCCCCGCTGTGGTCAAGCGGTGTATGCAGCCGAGAAGGTGATTGGAGCTGGAAAGGTAAGAAGGGGTATGGAGTGGATGGGGCACGCACATGACACAAGTTGCTGTGTGGCAGGGAGACCTTCAGAGAAGGTCTTGACCTGACCCACAGGCTGCTGCAGGCTGGGCTGCCAGCGCCTTCAGCCAGGGCTAGGCTTGGGGTCCGGTGGCCATGCTCACCGGGAAGCCGGGCACCAAAATGAGATCTTGGCATGTGTAGAAACCAGGTTCTCCATTACTCTTACAGACTTGTAGATGGGAGAGAAATATGTTTTATACTAAATATTTGGAGCGCTGCTCAGCAGAGGTCGCATTGGACATCCCTGCTGCTAGATGTGTTGGGAGGATGAGCAGTGACGTGGGCCATGGCCACTGCCACCACTAACTGAACAAGTGCAACAGCCAGTGAGCCTTCTTCACCCTCTGCTGCAGGCTGGGATGCTGCAGCCCAAATCTGGGGCAGGGAATGAATTCCAGTGGTCAGCGCTGCCCACAGGCAGGGCAACGTGCTTGGAGGTGTGGGCACGGGCTTGGTGCATCCATCCCTCTTGGGCTGTTTTGCTGGTGGACTGGGTCTGCTCAGGGTCAGAGGTAAAGGACATTCTGCAACAGCCCTCACACTTCCTCTGTCAAGTTCATCTCTTCACCAGGGTCCCTTGCGTCCCGAGCTGTGGCCTTGTGCTAGCCCAGCTCTGGGAAGCCCTCTGTAAGGCATGGGGACACCTTCTGCTCTGTCAGCCCTGGGACTCCGGATGAGGTCCCTGCCCCAAAGCACCCTTCCCTCTGAGGTCAGGTACATGTGCAGAGCTTGCCAAGGCAGCTGGGTCAGGCTGCTTGGCTTTGTGCTGCAGGGAACGGGGTGGCCATGCTGGGAAAGCCTCACCGCCTCGCTGGTGACGTTGGGTCACTGACTGACCCCTGGTGTGCTCTGTCCTCCCTCAGGTTTCTCTGTTTGTCCTCTGTCCCAGAGCAAGGAGAGGAGGCAGCTAGTCAACAGAAAGGGCCTCCCAGCATCATCATACCCTAGCTGGCAGTGCAGGGATTTGTGATGGACATGTTGAGGGTCAGCCCAGGGTCAGAAGCCAAGCTCACCCTTAAAATCATGATCTGAGCTTCCTGGTAGGCTTTTGGCCTCAGTGTTTACGGGGAACCAAAGCTGGCAAAGCAATTACACTCAAGCAAACCCAGAGAGGATTCCAGAGCATGTATTTCATGTGCTAATGTTTGCTGGATGACTCCATCTGCTACCTCCTCCTCCAGCCCCCTAATTTCACATTTTCTTCCAAAAAAGGTTTTATGTTTTCTAAAGTGTTTATTTAAATTCCTCTGTGAGCAGCTCTGGCTACTCTAGGTCTGCTCAAAGGCTGTGAGCTCATTTATCCCCAAAGGACTGGTGGAGCCATGGGGGGGTGTTATTTTTAAACACTGGCTGATTTCTGCATTCTTAGTATCTGTTTGCTGCCTTCCTTGGAGCTGTAGTTGTATAGGGGCAGGTGTCCCAACCCTGCTGCCACCCCCCAGGCTAACGTACAGCAGCAGTGGATCTCAGCTGGATAACTCAGGGGATTTATCATGCTGCTCGAGAGAGGACAATCTCCAAACAGGGGGGTCATTGCTCCTTACAAATTATTGTACAAATTATTCTACAAATGACCGCTGCGAGTGGGGGTGAAAGCTCTCTAAAACCAGATCAACGTGGGAGCAGTGACCACACCTGATGTTTCCTCTCTCCATCTTCCCCCTGGGGCTGGGAGGACCGCTCATTCCAGAGAAAAGCTTTCATCCCTTTCAGACCTCTTTGCCAACTGCTTTGGGTCAGAAACAGAAAAGTGACCCCATTTGGTAGCCAAAGCATTTCTGCCCTGTCCCCGGGTGTTGTCTGACCAGGCTCTGCTCCTGTCCCACAGTCCTGGCACAAGTCCTGCTTCCGCTGTGCCAAGTGTGGCAAAAGCCTGGAGTCCACCACCCTGGCAGACAAAGACGGGGAGATCTACTGCAAAGGTGAGTGCCACCTTCCCTGCTGGCTTGTCCTGGACTCTGAAGGGTGGAGGCAGGGGGTGAAAACCCCTGTGCAGGGAACGAGGATGGGGCTGAGGTTTGGGGAGGTGGTGGCCCCAGCAGCTCCGTATGGGGACTGGCTGTGCCAGCTGGCTGCAGAACTGGGGGATTTCCCACTGTGCCTGGGGCCTCTCTGTTTGCCCAACAAATATGGCAAACCCTGTCCCATTAGGCAGTGCCTGCTTTGAGAGGAGGACCTGCTCGTGTTCAGCTGCTGGCCTTACTCGTCTCTCCCCTCCCGTCCTCTGCAGGTTGCTACGCCAAGAACTTCGGTCCCAAGGGCTTTGGCTTTGGGCAAGGCGCCGGGGCGCTCGTCCACTCGCAGTGAGGCACCAGGAGCCAGGCTCTCTGCTCGCTCAGGGCTTGTCCGTACCACCTGCCTGTGCTGCCTGACCCTTCCTGCACCTGCCGTGAGCATCCTCACCATCATCAATAGCCACCCGCTGCTTCACAGCACAAGCCCCTTCCTCCCTGCCCGGACCCAGCGCACCCCGAAGCTGTGGAAGTCCCAGCATCGTCCCCATCAGGTCCTGCTGGTGCGGGTGCTGGCAGGGAGATAACTCATACCCACCTGCAGTGGGGCCCGTACGCCCAAAATGTTCTGCTCAGCGTTGCCCATCCTGCCAGGATGTGTGCTCAGCCGTGCCATGCTGTGTCACCGAGCAAGCAATAAACATCAAAGCTGACCCACACTTGGCCTTGCCAGAGAGTTTATTCCCCATCTGGAGCTGAGGAGGTGCACTGGGTGACCAGAGCTGGAGGTCAGGAGGTAGAAGGAGGATGGGAAATGTTTGCAATCGTGGCTTGCGATTAAAGCAGGAGGGCAGGAACTACTTGGTGCAATTTGACATGACCCAGCTGTGGCCAGCTGAGCTCTGCTGGTCGGCTGGGCTGGGCTCTCCCCGTGCTCCTGTGGTGCATAACCATTTCAAAGGCAGCGGTTAATACTGGGAGGCCCAGGACAGACCTTCCTGGGTGTGTTGGTAGCACAACACGTGCGCACGCCCTATCGAAACCCCTATCAGTGCTTCTATGTGGCATCTCTCCAAACAGGCAAGCCCAGCAGTGCTGAATAATTAACAACTTTTCACCTACTCCCTGGATTTTTAGCAGCACTGTGGATCATTAAGCCGTCAGTTTGGCAGCTTCCCAGATTTAATTCATTTTCATCTAAACTCTTTACTTTCTTTCTGTGATTCTCTCATTTGACTGGTGTGACATACCCACAAGATCAGCCTCGCTGCAGCTTAGAGTTATGAACTCCACAGGGAATTTAGTTTTGGGTTTTTTTTTTTAAGTTATAAACATTGTGGTTGAGTAAATGAGATGGGTAGTGTTTTGAGAAGCACAACAGAAGCAGAAATCCTTTTGTGGGGCAGGACTTGGGCTCCTTTATCAACTCAAGCACTTTCCCCCATTCATCACACCCTTGGTTTTTACATGAAGTTTTTGAAGTTGAGATGGGGAGTAAGCTCTTTAAACATCTCCAGAAATCCCCCCACCCTCAAGGTTTTGCAGCCTGGGACCCAAATTCTAGCTGGTCCCATTGCTCTGGAGTGTGTGGTTGGGGTTTGGCGAGGCTATAGCAGATGGCACTTGGTGTGTGGAGCAGACAGCCCAGGCTCAGGGATGTGGTAGTGGGTCGGAAGCTGTAGCACAGCAGGGTCATGTACCACCCTCAGTGTGGAGACCGAAACCTGGCTCCCTCGTTTGGCAGAGGCCCTGCTCCCCCACAGAGGTGTGGGAAGTTAGGAAGCTGCCTGCTTTCTCCAGGAGTCTGCAGTGGATGCTGTGCTGCTGGGGCATTTCAACTGGATGTGCCACAGGCAGGGATGGCACCCAAGCAATGCTGTTTAGTCAGTAAAGGTAGAACAAGTCTTTCTTTAGTCTCTTCTTCCATAGTTGTAGAGGTTGTATCAGAGAGAGGGGAGGTACTGACATATCACATGTGTGATGGACCCCGTAGAGGCCATTTGCTCCTGGAGGCCTGGTCAAAGCCAGGAGAAAATGCTGGATTGGAGTTTCACAGGGACACAGAAAGGCGTAGGGTGGAAGGGCCCTGCAGAGGTCTCGAGTCCAGCCTCCTGCTTAAGGCAGGACTAGCTCCAAAGGTCAGGTTGATCAGAGCCTCTGGTGTCCGGTCAGATTTGGAAACCCTCCAAGGATGGAGGTCCCACCACTATGGGTCTTGTCGGCGTTGCACCATACACCTAGAGAAGGTTACTTTCCTTATGTGCATCAAAGTTTCCCTTGTGGCACCTGTGCCCATTGTCTCCTGTCCTTTTGCCATGCACTGCTGTGTCTCCCTTCTCCACAACCCTTCTCTAAGTAGCGGAAAACTCTCTTCTCCAGGCTGGTGGGTCTCTGCTGAGCTTTCAGCCCCAAAGGTCCCAGGTGACAGCATGGGCAGTGTCCTGGGACAGGGACCTTGCCCTGAGGGTTTGCAATTGGTGCTGCACCCCTGCTGAAGTTGCACTGCTCACCTGAGAATGGCTTAGGGAGTGACAGAGACCAACACCCACAGTATTAGCAGAGGCTGTCGTCATGGTGAGACCAGCAGAGGCATCGCTGGGGCTGCACATCCAGAGGGCATGAGGTGGGCCGGAGGAGGTGATGGGGCAAGGCCCAGGAGAAGCAGGGTGGGATTAGAGGGGCTTTAGGGGCATCCCCCGCCCAAACTGCCGCGGGACGGCTGCGACCATCTGCTACCCTCTGCTGGTTACTGCTCCCCGTGCACGGCCACAGCCTGGTGCCGGTCAGCCGGACGTGTCTGGACACCAGCACCCAAGTGTTGTCCAGCTCCCTTTAGAGGCGGCAGAACCACATTGCACCCAGCAGTACCCACCCCTCCCTGCTGCCGGCATGGGGGGCTGCCAGCCCTTGGAAAAGGGGCTGTGGGACCCAAACCTACCTCTGCAGAGACAAACCAAAGGGTCGGCTCATGGCCGAGCACCCTGCAGCCTGGAGGCTGGTGGCGATGGTACCACCCTAAAGGGTCAGACTGGAGCCCTCTGAGCCCCATGGCCAGTGGTGCCAGGGGATCTTGCGGCAGGGGATGCCACAGTGCCACCACTCCATCCTGGCCATGAGCGCTTTGTGGGAATGTCATCCCAGTGGCTGCTGAGCCACCCCAGGGCAGGATTTCCCCCCCCAGCTGAGCCCCGGCAGCCCCTGTTGCCTGCCTGTAAGGGCTCTGTGTGGACGGGATATGTGTGGGGACCACGGGCAGCCCACGGAGCAAAGCCTTTTGCTTGCTGGCAGCCTGATGCAGAGAGTCCCGTTGGGTTTGCTGGAGGGCAGGAGCTGCCTCCCCTGCAGGTCTGGGAACGGACAGCTGGGAAGAGAGGAGCAGAGAAAGACTTCGTCAGAGCTCCACGGCTATGGGAAAATGACCTTCCCTTGGTGGCTGGAGCCTGGAGAGGCAGAGAGCAGCGGAGCTGAGGCCTTGGGGAGGGGGGGGGTGGCAGCCCTTGGCTCTCCCCAGGGTGGTAAGGGGGGGAGATCAGGCTGGCTGGTGAACCAAAAGTGCCCACGGACATCCCAGCTCGCCAGAGCGGAGCCAGGAGCAACAGTCCCAAAACTATTCACCCCCAAATTTCCAGGGCTCAGCATCCCTGGAGCTGAGCTTTACCTGTGTGTGGGAAAACAGCCTTGGATGCTCCTTTGGGGGGAGAACCCACACATTTGCTCTGCTCCTCCCGAAAGTGCTGGGGTGCTTGGCGTGACCTCCGGGGCTGCGCTGGCCCCCCTGGCTGTGCCCAGCCCGGTGCTCCCTTTGGCTGCGGGGGTGGCAAGGGCCGGCGGGGAGCTGGGGCCACCTGACGTCACGAAACCGGGTCTCCTGGGACACCCGGGATCTCTGCCAGCGTGGTGAGGTTGGCCCCGGGGAGCACGAACCAGTTCCTGGCTCCGCAGCCGCTGCCCTGCCCTCTTAATGAGGGATAATTAGGTGCATCTCATCGGAGCTGCAGACTTGCCCCCCGGCTATGCCGGCTGCAGGCAATGCCCCTGGCAGGGACTGGGGACAACGGAGTGGCTGAGGAAAGAGGGGGTCCAGCTGGGGGGCGCCGGAGGGGGGGGGTTGCACTAGCAGCATGATTCTGGAGGTATGGGCTGGGGCAGCAGCTGTGTGCCAGGGAGCCGTGGGCTGACCTGCAGGTTGCCAGCCCCAGACAGTGACCCCGGCACATCCCTGGGGGGAATTTTTCCCCTTCCAGATCTCCTGGGTGAAGGGACCTGCACCCTCAGCATCTCCGGGGGCACATCCAGCCACCTAGCAGTCTGTGACCGTCACCCCCTTTGGCAGCCCATGGCCATCGCCAAGGCCCCAGATGTCCCTGCTGGCAGCCCGGCAAGGCACGGTGAACCCCTCTGTGCGAGGCACTGGCACAGGAACAGACAAAGCTGCGGTGGCCGGGAACGAGACAGGCTGGAAAGAAGACGGGTGTTTTGCTGCAGGGGAGGGTGGACTCAGGCGGGACAGGGCTGCGCTGTGCTGTCCTGGCCTTGCTCTGGGGGTGTATCCCCCCCTGCACAGGTCACACAATGCTGGAGGATTTTGGTCCTCACTGTGGGACAGGCTGGGGGCTGCAAATCCCTGTCCCAGGGGATTTGGGGAACAGGAGTTCTGTGTGCTGAGGGCTGGGCCAGCACCCTTGGGTGCAGGGCTGGGTGGGTGGTGGGTGTCAAGGGCTGTCCCCATTGCAGGGCAGCCCTGCACAGCCATCTCGGAGTGGTGACACCAGACATCTGCTGTCTGTGTGTGTCCCCCCTCCTGGGTCCCACCCAGGGGTCCCCACAGCCCCTGCCTGGCTGGTGCTGCGCCCACAGCCCCCTGCCCTTGGTAGTACTGCACCCCATAACCCTCTGCCCTGGCTGGTGCTGAACCCCATAACCCCCTGCCCTGGCTGCAACTGCACCCCATTGTGCCTTCCTGGCTGGCACTGCACCCCACAGCCCCCCCACCCCAGCTGGCACTGCAACCCACAGCCCTATCTGCAAGTGAAACTGTGCCCCATAACCCTGTGCCTGGATGGCGCTGCACCCCACAGCCCCCGGTCCCCACTGGCACTGCACCCTATAGCCCTGTGCCAGCTGGCACTGCACCCCCCGACAGCTGGCACTGCACCCCATGCCCGGGCTCCCATGCAGAAGTCTCCAAACCCTGCCCCGACACTGCTGCCATGCAGACCCATGCCCACACCTTCCCTGTTCACACGAGGACCCTGGGGGCAGCGCCTGCCCGCGAGCACCCCAAAAGCACCTCCTGGGTGAAGCAGGGCTGCACGGGGCCTGGCTGGGCCTCGCCTGGGTGTGAAGGGTGCCTGCGCGGCAGGAGGGGCCAGGCAAGGCGGGGAGGAATGCGAGTGGGAGAGCGGCCGGGCATGTAGAGACAGCTCCTGGGGTGCGCGGCGCCGGGGATCCCACACGCTGCACGGGGCAGGGAGCAGAGCCCTGGCAACAGGGCTGGCAGCCGGCATGGGGCACCCCATCGCTCACCCCCTCTGAGAGCCAGGGAGCGGAGGGCGGCAAGGTCCCTGGGGGCAGCACAGCTGCCGTGGGGGTCCTGGCCCTGGGGAGCTCGGCTCTGACGTGGAGGGGCTGGAAATCCCCTGGCGGGTGATGCCCAGCTGCGCCGACACGAGGTGCTGAGGATCCCTGGGGGCTGAGGAGCCACTATGACCCCCGAGAAGGTGCTGAGAGAGGGGGTGCTGGAGAAGCGGAGCGGGGGGCTGCTGCAGCTCTGGAAGAAGAAGCGGTGCCTGCTGACGGAGAAGGGGCTGCAGCTCTTTGAGCCCAAGGGCTCGCGGCGCAAGGAGCTGAGCTTTGCCCGCATGAAGGCGGTGGAATGCGTGGAGTGGAAGGAGCGGCACATCTACTTCACGGTGGTGATGGACGACAGCCACGAGATCGACTTCCGCTGCGCCCAGGAGGACCCGGGCTGGAATGCTGAGATCACCATGGGCCTTGTCCGCTTCAAGAACCAGCAGGCGATCCAGGTCGTCCGCGCCCGGCACAGCTGCCGAGCAGGTACCAGACCCCCCCACTGCGCTGCGGATCAGGGTGCAGGACCCACCGGAGGATGAGGTCCCGGGCCACCGGGTGCCATCTCCAAGTGGTTCGGCTTCCCCATAGGAATCACAGAGGGGGTCCCATAGATGGGGATGGGTCTGCAGGGCACAGTCCTGTCTCCCCCTACCCTGGCTGGGCTCTGCCCTTTGCATCCCCCACCGGGTTTCACCTCCCTGCATCCCTGGAGAGGGACTTTCTAACACCCTCCCTCTGTCTGGGGTGGCCCTGAGGGATACGGGGCTCTTTGCCGTGTTGCATGTGGGATGGCAGTGAGGACTGTAGCTGGCTCCACTCCCCAGCTCCCCTCAGGGCTGGATCCTGCCCCATGTACCCCGAGTGGGTAACAAGCACCTTCTCTCC